ATTAAGATTTTTTTCTGATTATGGAAGTCTGGGATATTGCTAAAACTCTACTAAAATGTTAGTAGCAATAATGATGACCATGTAGATAAGTGGTATATTAAAAAAAAAAGAGAAGTGGTACTTAATCCAAAGTCCAGTTAAGGGTTTATACAGCCTAAGCAGGTACATGGAAGAGCTGAGAGTAAATTAAACCTTGAAGGAAGGATGGGATTTCACTGATGGCGTTTTTGAAGAAAGAGGGAGATTTAGCTATGACCAGGTTCAGCTCTGAGAACACTTTTATTATTTGGGGCATTAATAGTAGTAATTAACAATGTTGAGTGCTTACTATGTATCAGGTTATGTTCTTAAGACTTTTATATGATTTAAACCATTTAATCCTCTTAACATTGCCAGGAGTCAAGTGTTCTTATCCCCATTTTACACAGGAGAAGTTTGAGGTGTGCAGAGGCTAAATAACTTGCCTGGGATCACAGGACTAGTAAGTGGTAGGACATGATTAGAAACCTGGCTGATAATAATTAGTGTTTGTTTGTAATAGGAATGTCCTTAAATTTCTGAAGTGGATATATATATATATATTTTTTAGACTACTACATTCTTCTCACCTATTGGAAATCTTTAAAATACTCGGCATTTTTATGGAATAATCATTTCAGGGAAGGTCTGATCTTAAGATAATAAAAAGATTAACTTCAACAACAAAATGATAGAATTATAACAAATAAGTTTGTTCATATGGCCTGCCCACATACATGTCAAATTATCACAAGTTCTTCACTGTGTGAGCTATTTACGTACTGTTACAATCATTACATATAATAAAACACCACCAAGATACTGTTTGCAACATTAAGAATATATAAAATCAGGTAAAATACTTCTTCTCCCTTGAAAATTATACAGATTGTTTGCGAAGAAAAGTTAAACTAGTAGAGACTATAAAGAGTAAAATATATTAGATGTAGGGCTACATAAAAAGATGAAAAAAGTAAGAGAGAAATTGACAAGGGATAAATTTATTAGAGAAGACGTTTTAGTAGAAAAAATTTTGATCCTGATCTCTTAATCAGTATTAGGGTATCAAATAAGGGGGGTTGAGGGAGGAAACATGGCCAGAAGTGAGAAATAATACAGGTAAAAAGTATAGAAGAAGTTCTATTCAGTTTAGTAAATAGAGAGAATAGACTTAGGCAAATAGTAGTAAAACCACTAATCTGGGAAAAAAGTAAGATAGTCTCAATAAGAAATCCCTGGTATATTTTGTACAGCTGTAAATAAGAGATTTTCAACATAGGATTCAGAATGTAATAACACTGTATACTCTAAGAGATCAAATAGTTTCCAATCTATCCTCTTGCCACAACCAGCTTATATCTCAGATTTATAAGTATTGCTTAAGCTTCAGACACAGACTCCAATACGTTAATTCTGCAATTTAGGATTAGTTTCCCATTTGAGTGGACTGATAAACCACATCCCAGCCATGACTGCTACAGCTTGTACAAATGGGATAGGATTCTGTTTCACACGTGAGGCTTCCTTCCATTTATAGAAAAAAATTTAGGCTAATGCTAAATAAGTTATTTTAAAAATTGCTCCAAGTGAGCCATGCAAATCATACAGAAAGATTCAGCATTTTATTTCATTTGGCCCACTGAAAATTTAGACTATGATGGTAGTTAAACACATCTAAAATTGGATTCTTTAGTATTATTATTAGTTTATATTTTCTCTAATTTGGATATGTTTCTTTTGTGTATTTTACCATGACAGAAATGGTGTTTCTTCATCTGATTTATGATGGTGGTTACTGTGAAAGGAAGAAATGTGTTATCACATAAACTTGAGCACAACTACAAAAACTTTCCAAGAAATATCATTTTGGTCAAACATATTTTTCTCTGTTGAAGAGAAAAGCATATCAATTACATTAGAAAAGAAAATTTCAGGAAGCTATAAAATGTAAGACTTTTAAAATTATTTCAGAAGTTCTATTCAGTATAGTAAATAGAATAGCAAAAAACTATTGAAAATATCTATGTATAAAATTAAGATTTTTTTCTGATTATGGAAGTCTGGGATATTGCTAAAACTCTACTAAAATGTTAGTAGCAATAATGATGACTATGTAGGTAAGTGGTATATTAAAAAAAAAAGAGAAATGGTACTTAATCCAAAGTCCAGTTAAGGGTTTATACAGCCTAAGCAGGTACATGGAAGAGCTGAGAGTAAATTAAACCTTGAAGGAAGGATGGGATTTCACTGATGGCGTTTTTGAAGAAAGAGGGAGATTTAGCTATGACCAGGTTCAGCTCTGAGAACACTTTTATTATTTGGGGCATTAATAGTAGTAATTAACAATGTTGAGTGCTTACTATGTATCAGGTTATGTTCTTAAGACTTTTATATGATTTAAACCATTTAATCCTCTTAACATTGCCAGGAGTCAAGTGTTCTTATCCCCATTTTACACAGGAGAAGATTGAGGTGTGCAGAGGCTAAATAACTTGCCTGGGATCACAGGACTAGTAAGTGGTAGGACATGATTAGAAACCTGGCTGACAGGGCCAGTCTGGGCTCTCAGCACAGAGCCTCTAATCATAGCAGTTCACAAACATGGTGCCCTTTCTATGTGTCAGGCATTTGTATACATTTTCTGTTAATCTTCATGGCAATTCTAAGAGCCAGGTGTTGCTTAACCATTTCAGAGCTCAGGGAATTGTGAGACTGCAGGTCAACCTTAGTTATATTTAGGCTACTAGGCTCAAATTTAATAATATGTTTTATTTTAATTCATTCAAAAATCTTTTATTTTATCCATTTTTTATTGAAGTATAGTAGACATAAAATATTATATTAGTTTTTGGTGCACAACATAGTGATTCAACATTTAGATACATCATGAAATGATCACCATGATAAATCTAGCTACCATCTGTCACCATACAAAATTGTTGCATATTTTCTTTTTAAATTGAGGTACATACAATAGAGTACACAAATCTTAGTGTATACCTCGATGAATTTTGGCATGTATATGCACTTGTGTAACCATCACCAGATCAAGATATCATTCTCACTATTTTTTTCCCCTTCGCCTATTTCACCCCTGCCCCTGCCCCCTCTCCATTGAAACCATCAGTCTGTTTTCTATGTTTATGAGTCTATTTCTGCTTTGTTTGTTTGTTCATATGTTTTATTTTTTTAGATTCTACATATAAATGAAGTGATGTGTTATTTCTCTTTGACTTACTTCACTTAGCATAATACCCTCTAGGTCCATCCACATTGTCACAAATGGCAAGATTTCATTATTATTTTTTTATGGTTGAGTAATATTCCATTGTACATATGTAACACATGTTCTTTATTCATTCATTTGTCAATGGCAGTTAGGTTGATTCCTTATTCTGGCTATTGTAAATAATGCTGCAGTAACATAGTACTGCAAGTCCTAGCCACAGCAATTAAACAAGAAAAGGAAATAAAAGGCATCTGAAATAATAAGGAAGAAGTAAAAATGTTGATATTTGCAGATGGCATGATACTATATATAGAAAACCCTAGAAATTCCATCAAAAAACATAATAGTAAATGAATTCGGTACAGTTGCAGGATACTAAATAAATACACAGAAATCTATTACATTCCTATATAGATAACAAACTAACAAAAAGAGAAATTAAGAAAGGAATCCCATTTACAATTACATCAAAAAGAATAAAATACCTAGAAATAAATCTAACTGGGAGGTGAAAGACCTATACTCTGAAAACTATAAGAATTAATAAAAGAAACTGAAGAAGATACAAATGAATGGAAAGATATTCCATGCTCATAGATAGGAAGATTAATATTGTTAAAATGGCCATGTTACATATTATTTACTGTATTCCCTATGCTGTACATTGTATCCCCATGACTTATTTAGTTACAAGTTTATACTATATCTAGTCTTCAGTTCATTCTCAGAGATAGTTGTTCTATATGTACTTGTAGATTCTGGTGTGTGCATAAGAGGAGGTGGCTCAGGATCTTCCTACTCCATCATCTTGATCTCACCTCCAAAAGTTCTTATTTCTTAGATAATTTTTTACCCACAACTATATTTCTAACACAATTGACCTTAGGACAAATTAATATCAAAATTCTTTGTCTCATTATTCAATGAGTAAGACTTTATCACAAAGAGATGTTTCTAATCCTCCCTCCGCTAATCTCTATTAGAAGTGCTAATGCTTCATCTCAGGTCTCTTCATGTGTCAAATAACATGAGAGAAAACTGAAAAAAGTAGGAAAAATAAGGCCATCTTCTCTTTGGTCCTTTCTTTTCCTGTTTTTCCAACCTTGGGAGTACAGAGGGTGACAATGGTCTGCTCATCTTTCCTTCTTTCTGATCAATAATTTTATTAGGCCTAGTTTGAATGAAATATAGCTACCTCTTTTTTCCCCTTACTAAGCACATGACAGTGAATTGGTAACTTCTGTTTTTTAATAGATGCCTTTCTGAAAGAACTTGTAATTACATATCTTAGTTTGTACCCAAAACCTTTTCCCTAAAAGGTCAACATATCTTCTAAGAAAAAAAAAAACTTAAAAAAACATACCATGGGGTCAAATACATGATATGTTTTATCATTTCAAAATTAACAGTAAATACATTTTCTATAAAACCACTTTCATTATTAATTTGTCCTTACATTAATTTTTAATAAATAATATCCCCATCAAATATAACTTAGAATTAAATATTTGAGACAATATAGGTGAGCACTGTGAAATAACTTGACTTTACTGCCCTGCTGCAGCCCAGCTACATTATTCAAAGCCTACAATTAGCAAATTTCTCCAGCTGTGCCACAGTGAAGGAGGTTCATCCATTAGAGTAGAGAGAAAATAACAACAACAAAAAAAAATCAAATGAAAATAAGTTGTAACTGCCTCATTTAATCCTACAAACCATCCTGCTTATTGATGCTATTGTTTCTGGTTTATAGAGACCGAGCCCCTTTTATTTTTACTTCAGAGATGGAGTACTTTATTACAGAGGGTGGCAAAAACCCACAGCATTTCCAAGAGTTTGTGGAGCTTTGCTGTCGAGCTTATAATATTGTCAGAAGGCACAGCCGACTGCTCTTGAACCTGCTAGAAATGGTAAGTTCCCTTGGGGAAATAACAAAAATAATAAGCTTCATTTATGTCTCTCTTTCGGGAGTTTATTTTTGCTAATGGCTTGGAGTGCCCCAAAGGGCTATTCACAACAGAAAGGAGAGAACAAACTAAAAGTACCATTGTACAGCTCATGAACACATTTCTTAATAATTTATTATATTAGTGCATGGTTATTGTCTCAAACATTTCTATTCACAATAATATTGATGTATTCAGGGGTTATCTGAGTATAGTATATTTTGATTAAAGATCAAGGACAGAAATTTAGAATATTGTATTAGCTGTATTGTGCTTTAGGATTTTTCAAAGGTGCTTTAAAAGTTCTATCTCATTTATATGCTAGAGCAACCCAGTAATGCAGACCAGGCAAGGTTTTTCCTGTCTCCCCCTAATCTCTGGCTTCAATCACTTGTTTATTTTTCAGAGAAAGAAACTGAGGGTCAAAAACATAAGGCGACTCGTGATTTAAACCAGAGAGTAATATACTTAGCAGCATACATTGGGTCTACTGAATCGTGGTCCTATATGCTATCTGTTGACCAATAGGGGAAAATAGAATGTTTCATTCCACTGTCCAGTGCAGAGATGGAGCAGATAGGCAGGATGAGATATGCAGGGTACACACATACACACTAGTAGTTGCAACAAACTGTAGGAGAGGAACACAGCTTTGGTAAATCACTTGGGCATTTGGAGTAACCATGATCATCAAAAAAAGATGCTTTAAAGCCTTTAGATGATAATTCTACTAGATGCTGTTAAGGGCACAGACTTGGTGGCCAGGCCTTCCCAGGCTTCAGTTCTAAGTTGGCATTTTACTGGGTACATTCCTCAGGGTATATCACCCAACTCCAATAATAATACTATGTTTCTTATCTATTAAATAAGATTATAGCATCCACCTTATAGGATTGATTAATAAATGTCCTAGTAGTGAATGCTTTGCATGAGCAATAAGTGCTTTATGTGTATTAATCAATTTACATTTTATAATAACCCTATTAGTTAATTAATGTAAAGCACTTAGAACAATATCTGCCATATAATAGGGTTCAGTTAAATTACTATACTAGATCCTTATTAATTTATAAGAACACTGACCAAAACAGTATCCATAGTCACATGTGGTTATTTAATTTAAATTAATTAGTATTAAATGAAATTTAAAATTCAGCTCCTCAGTCTCACTAGCCACATTTTAGATGCTCAATAGCCTCATGTGGCTAGTGCTACCATACTGGAAAGCACAGATGTGAAATAATTCCATCATTACAGAAAAGTTATATTAGGTTGTGCTGAATGAATGTAGACCTTTTTGCAATCAAGATTTGATCTGGATCCTTATTTTAACTTTCAAACAATATATGCACCTTCCTTCTCTCCTCTTTGTCTTAAAAAATACAGATTTCTAAAAATATTACAAACATGTAGTCCTTCATATACAAAGACACTTTGGTTCCTTCATGTGTAATTGGATTTATAAAGTTCTGCGCATCACCAGAATCTTCTAGTTGGCTTTCCAATAATAGCCAATGATTCATATTGGTATATTTGTATTCTATCTCTAATTCTATTAGGCTGTGTTGCAATTATGAGGTGGCTTATGGTTCCTAATCTGTGTTCATCCCACAAGGACTGAGTATGTGACCTTAACTCCATTTCCATAATAAATGTTCAGTAACATCTCTAATATCCTCTTGGGCTCTAGCATGCTCTAACTCATGAATCCATGAGGTCTTGAGTAGTTATTCTATACCAAAAATTGTGGAGGATACAAAACATATCAGGCCTAGTCATTGTTAAAATTTTCAATTTAATAAGGAAGATAAAATTGATATACACAATAAGATATTCAGCATTTCCAAATGTATGTAATGCTGTAGGTAACAGCATACATATTCTAACAACCACTTCAACCAGTCACAGACATTGCAGAAACAAACCCAAAGCAGAAAAGCTTATAGTTTATGCTGTTTTCAAGGTGACACTGAAACTATGCTGAATGACAACTGAGCATGTTAAAATAATGTGAAAAGACAGCTTTTTGTAAAGACATAGATTCATAAAGCTATTGGTGGGCATTTTTCTCTTGATAAATTTCTCTACCTGCCCCCACCCCCAAAAAAAACCTGAGCACGTAAGACAAAATATATTAAATAATGATTAAAAAGTTTATGTAATGTTATTTCACTTAAAAGAAGTACATATATGGTATTTTAATCAAGTGTTGAAATAATTTCTCAAAAATAATATTAAAATCAGATGTTGAAAATTTCTGGTATATAGTATATCCAAAAAATCCCTTATATTTTAATTATTCAAGTCTTTTAGGCTAAGGAGGAAAATTTGGCAATGAAGGGCATTAATTCAGATTAAGCATATAATCTTAGATTTAGACTCTCACAGAAATTGAAACAGTCATCAGAGCAATGTGGACCAATTAGACTAATGAATAAATACATGAGTGTGCTATTCCCTCTATTTCTGGTTATTTGCATCTTAATTCTCTTCTTTTCAGGTTTCTTTCTTAGGGAATCTGTAGATAATCAAAACATCAGTAAAGGTTTCAGGACCATCCTTTCCCTAGGTGTAACTTCTTATAAAATAAAAATTAAATTTAAATTTTTGAAAGATTATTTTTTTCCTATGTGAGTAATCTGTATTTCCCTCAATTCTCTTTCAAACTGACTGTTCTTAAGTTCTTTAAAAATAATTAAATCTATTACACCATGACCCAGTTACAACATTAGAAGTACTTGATGTGGGTCATAAATTCTATCCTCTGTGAATGGTCAGTACCCAGTATTATAAGCCGCAAGCATTTGGTGACTGTACTGTGGAGTTAATGTCTCATCCTTGGTAGAGAGCAGCATCTTTCCAGATATCTGCGATCCTTTTTATTTACTCCTGAGAAGAGCAGGGAAAAAAATAATCCATGAAGTTCCCATCTTGCTTAAAAGCAAAACATCTGTAGGAGACCCAAGAGTGTTGCTGGCTGAATTCACTGACATAAAAGCCTGTATTTCATCAGCTTTTGTCTCATTAAAAAATCAATATCAGCTATTATGGAAGTCGCCCAAAGAACATAGGGACAATTCACCCAGTTTAAAATGTTTATCACACCCATTATTATAGCAGATATTTCCCAGTAGAAATCTTTCTAACTGTTCTTTATGGTGTCAAAGAGGGTCTGCTTCCCTAAGCATAGTTTTCAAAATACATTTGGACTTAGTAGGAAGAGAACAGAAATAGAAAATGTTAAAATGTTCCTATCCTTTAAAGAAGAATTTACCTTTTATTACCTGTATCTTTTCATTACCTGTTATTACTTGTATCTTTTCATTACCTGTACTAGCTACCCTTCCCTTTCCTAAGGTCCCAATTAAAGTTATTACACAGGTGATCTAAGCTAGGAAGCACTTTAACCACAACTCTGGGTCAGAGGACAGACATGAACTTGAACTGATAAAAAAAATATATTCTTTTTGAAGGCTCAGCTCAGATGCTTCTTCCTCCCTGAAGTACCACAGATCCTCTTGATAAGTCTTATTTGCTGCTTTCTTTGTATAGCAGTCTTATCTTGGTCCCCTTCCACCACCATTTTTTTCTTACCAGAGTACCAGAAATTTACTGGACTCTCCACTTCTCCCAAGGACACTAGCAAACCCATGGGAATGGTCCCCCAGCAGTTCTGTTCTTATGGGCCAGGCCAGGGTGGGCAGCATGAGGAGACCCCAAATCACAGGTTATAGCCAGGCTTCAGGGGTAGGAATATAAGGAGACATGGAGAGGGGAACAGAGCAGTCCCAGGGCAGCAGGTTCTGGCTGAAAGTCCTGAACCCTCAATATGAAGCAGGCCCAGGCTAAGTGGACCCAGGTATGAGGCCACCCCTACTCTGGTGTGCAGAGCTGAACACTCAAGAGCCTTCTAAGGAAGAAAGCTCATCAACAAGGGCAAAATTAGCATTTGTTACCAATAATGACCACATGTCAGGGAGACAGATGGGGTCTTTTCATCTAATAGAAGCCATCTGCACTTGGCAGCTTGTGAGCTTGTGTGTAGTGTGTGTGTGTGTGTGTGTGTGTGTGTGTGTGTGTTGGCAGAGGGAAAGGTCTGCTTCCCGAGATGTATGACAGAGTCTTAGGCAAACAGGTCTGAATTCAGGGTATCCAGAGAAATGGAAAGCAGTTCAAATCTAGGAATTATGCCTGTTGTTAGCAAATGGACAATCTTAGTATGATAAAGGGAAAAAATTCGTCAATAAGAACACAGATATTTCTAGAACTCTAAGTACAAAATGTATAAGATAAAGCCTAATCTAGACTATAGTTCCTATTGGGAATGTATCTCCCTATGGCTAATTTTAAGTTTAGTAGTCAGGGTTGAACATGCTACTTAAAGGTTTTCAAAGCCTAGCAGGGTCAGGTATTTTTTCATTCATTCATTCATTCATTCATTCATTCATTCATGTATTCATTAATTCATTAAGTTCTAATTATAAAACACCATGCTAGGCAATATAGACAATTCAACACTGAATTAAAAACTCTGTTCCTCTTCTCAAATAAGTTAAATCTTAACATGGCAAACATATGCTGAACAAAACAGTGAAATGTAGGCAGCAGTAAATAAATCTTATCAAGAGGATCTGTGGTAGTAAGGCAGGAAGAAGCATTTGAGCTGAGCCTTCAGAAGTAATTTCAATAAACAAGAAGGGAGAGGAAACAAATCCTGGCTGAAGAAAACATCTGAGTGTGTTGGCAATGGAGGTAATCAAGTGTACCCAGTCTGTGGTACAAGTGGAGACCTATGTAGCTGATAAGGTTGAAGTGATAGACTATGAAAGGCATTTATGACCAGAATGAGGGTTTTGGACTTTAATGTGTAGACACCTGAGAACCTAGAAATATCTTTGTTTTTGATAAAGGGTCATAATCTAGCATAGATTTTATATAATAACTCAGAAGTTATGTATTTAGAGAGAGAGGGATTAGAGAAAAAGGCTATTCAAGTTATCTAAACAAATGAAGATGAGGAGCTGAACTAGGACAATAATTGCAATGATGAATACAAGAGATGGTTGAGGTGGTTTTTATAGAATTAAGGGAATCAAGAAGAAGAGGGAATCAATGAAGATGTGAACTTGTTGGACAATGGTGGCAGTGTAAATGGAGATAAAGGGGGGAAAAGGAAGAGTTTGCAGGAAAAGAGAATATGCTAAAATTAAGATATGAATTTGAGATGCTAGATCATCTATGAAGAGAGGCAGTTGACAATTTTCCGAGACTATCTTATCCATTTCCATGGTTTCAATTACTATCTATATGTTAAGGACTCTAGAATCTGTTTATAGCTGTATGCTTTAGACCACACCCCAAATATATCCAATAAATCACACAGTTTTCTAAGTCCTACTTCCTACATATATTTAAAATACAATAACTTATCTCTCTTCCTAAGCAGTCTCTTAGTCCAGCCTCTTTTTTGGCCCCACTTCAATCCACTTTCCACAAATATATCCTATTTCCACAAACATCCTATTCTACTTGCCTTTTCAGCCCCATATTTTGTTATTCACCCACACCCCTATGTTCCAGAAAGCTCTCCTGGATTTCTTTCTGTGAACAAATGGAAGAATAAATTATACCTTGGATAAGATATAATGGGACAGTAGGAAAGGAGAACAGTTTCAAATCCTTTTTTTTTTCCTCAGTTGAATTTCCATCAAGGCAATCACAAAGTCACACATCCTCCATAATCATATTCTCAGTTTATCCTTTATATTTAAATATCATGAATTTGAGATGCTAGATCATCCATGGATTTATATTTAGGATTAATAGCATTGTTCTTAACTTCCCATTTTCCACTATCGTAAGAGGGCCTCTATTCCGGAGCAGAAAATAAATTATCATCTTAGTCTTAGAGATATTGATGGCATTCTTCTTTTTATTTGTTTGGGTTTTTTTTTTTTTGCAAAGTTCAAATTTACTTCAAAAAAATCTATTTTTTTCTCAAAAAATATTTTTAAAAACTTTTGCCTATATCTAAAGAGACTATTACACAGTCTACACTATAATATGAACAAAGTGCTTTTCCAGACATTGGCAAAAGATATCTGAGCCTTTGTACAATTTTTTCTTTACTCATTTCACTGCTTTAATAATCTTTAATAAATGTAATAACCACTTAACTAGGGAAAATTTTGTTCTTATACTGTGAGTCCTAGAATCATAAAAGCACATGAAATTAAAAACCAGAGGACTGAGATTTCCACTCCATGCTTGGACACTCCATTGGACACTCCACTTATGGTTTTTTGGGGATTAAGTATTTCTTCTTTAAGATGGGTTTTGTGATATAATTTTGGGGTAACAATTTTAATGTATAAAACTTTATTATTCATTAACCATTTGATTCTTACAGAACATGTTGGGTATTTTTACTTTAAAAGTGGAGAAAATGGAGGTTCAGTGAAGTTAAAAGATTTTTTTCAACCTCATTCAGATTTGAAATGTTGGGTCCAGAAATTCTGACACTAGAGCTCTCATTATTTCACTGTCCTTTTACAAGAGATAGTTCTACAGAGATAATAATACTATCATGCTTACTTCACTTGTTTTTGATGAAGGTAAAATTAAATTATTAATCTGTAGTCAGTTTGGCAGTTTTATTAGTTCTTTTTATTTTATCTTTTTGTTGCTTAACTACTAAATATGAGAGGTTAAAGAACATGAACTTTCATTCATGTTTATAAATGGAAAAGCATTGCTATGTAAGTTTAAGTTTATATGTATTTGCAGAATGAATCAGGTGGGCTCAACTGCACTTGACCAATTAAGATTTAATTCAGACTCATCTGAGGTTTTTTGGTTTTATTTTATTTGTGTGTTTGTCTGTTTTGTTCAGATGCTACATGCAGGATTGCCTGAGCTGAGTGGGATCCAAGACCTGAAATATGTGTATAATAATCTTCGTCCACAAGACACTGACCTGGAAGCAACAAGTCATTTTACCAAGTAAGATTAGCTGTGAATGAATGTAAGAGTGTTCATTTATGGTGTGCACAGATGCATGCTTCACCTGTAACATAATCCAGGGTGAACAGTCACTGGTATGAAGCTGTCATCTCTAGAACCACCTTGTATCTTCTTTCCCAAGGAGTAGAAAGAGAGCAATGTGAATGTCTAGCAGAAACCCTTGGTCAGTGTTTCCGTAGCATGCTATGATTTGCTAACCAGCCTCCTCATTTAATACATTGCTCAATAAGAGGTCACTGAAAAGAGCAAGGGCTGACATAAATAAACTGGTTGCTTTTCTTGAACTATGCCCAGAAAAACAATTTGAAAAAAAGAGATTTATGATGACATACGGACCCAGTTACTTTCATCTCTAAGACAATACAAATATTGGAATATTTGGCAACTATTTTCTATTTTAAATCTATATTTATTAAGCAAGTCTGGGAAAACAGTAGTGTACACCAGGGCAGGCGTCTGGCCAAAATGCAGTGAATATCAACTAGACTCAAAATTTTTGTTGAAAAGGCAGTGCATCTTATAAGATTCTCTGGAACTTCAGTTTTTGAATGGACAGCATCAATGCTAGCAAATTTCAGGTGTTCAGTAAATGTTATCTGTAATTACTATCCTAGTAAACAGTTTAAGTGGAGAAATACAGTGCTCTTTCCTATAACTTCTTAATGTTGAATCTTAGCTGAGTCTAATTTTTAATTTTTCTAATATTTCCAACTGGAAATTTGTAAACACAGATTTTTTGTTATACTCTTTTTAACAAATGTATGCTTTATCCTTTTGAAGAAAATAATAGTTATAATAAAACCTTTCCCACACAGGTATTATTTTTTCTCTCCCCCTTCCAGAATTTGAAGTGAGGAACCTCTCTCAATTACAGGGACGTCCATGGGGGCGGCCTGTGTACTTGGAGAATTTCACTTTTACAAGGGCTTTCTGGTTCATGAACTGTAGTGAATAAGCTGCTCTTGTGATTAGGTAGGAGCAATATGACAGAATCACAGAATATTAGAGCTGGAATATTTGTTTGTTAATAAACATCCTTACAGTTTGTTTATTCTGACAACAAATATGCAGAGGAAGAAACTGAGATCCAAAGAATTAAGGGTTTACCCTTGATTAAAAGAAGTAGTAAGAAATAGAGCTAAGACTAGGGCCCATGGCTAGAACCCTGATCCGCTGGTTTAGGTTTTTTCTTCAACATTCAACATTGGAAACTCTACGATACGGCTAAGGAACACCAGGAAGAGCCCCTGTCAAAAATATACCCGCCCATTATCCAGTTTGTTTCTGAAATTCTACCATTACAGAAACTTTACAGGAGTCTGGTAGGCTCTTTTAGTCTTGAAAAATGCCTTTTAATAATAAAAAGTTACTTCTGAAAGAAGCATTTGTTTTTATCCAGTAAGGAAACTACAAATATTAGTTGAACAACTATCGGTAGCCAAAGAAGCTAGCTTGAAGACTTGCATAGGTGTTTCAGATCCTTGCTTTCAAGGCTGAGGGACTCTCAGCTTGCCTCAACTAACGAGGATGGGGGCTTGTATGAGAAATCCCAGGGGAAAGCTAACAGCCTGCCTCAAGAAGAGCAGAAGGACATCTGCTGAGAGCCTGGAAGGCCCTTTGGGGTTCAAGGCAGCTCTGGGGATCCCAGCAGGCATCATCCCCTCACTCCAGCTGCCCAGCCCTGGTCCAGCTAATTCCATCCAAAGTGGGTGGGTTCCCACGGCACGAAGAGGTGCCTTCCTTTAATGTAGGCTGCTGCACGGCCAGCCCATGATTTTCCTGTCAGTGAGACTGAGTGGGGAGATGGGGAAGGCATATGGATAGGGCCAGAAAAGGTGGAGGTCGGAAATGTGACTGGGCTATAGCCTGTGTTTCGTGTGTCACGGTTATAATAATTTCACCCAAGTAAAGCAGGGAACATATTCCCACTTCTCCACTTATAAAAATATCTGAATATGAAACAAGCTCTATTCCCCTTAAAATATATTAAAAACCTTAATTTAACAGAAAATACAATGTAAAATCAATCATGTATATAAAAGGTACTCAATAATGGCTAACATTTAATACAGTGTTTCTTATGTGTCAGGCCCTGTTCTAAGTGGTTTTCCTGAAGTAACTTATTTAATCACTATAATGTATCTGTGAGGTAATATCATTTTTATCTACATTTTTTTGATTACGAAATTGAGACCCCAGAGAAGTTAAATGATTTGCCAAAGGATACAGCCAGCAGGAGACAGAGTCACAGTTCCAAACCAATTGGTCATGCTCCAGAGGGTGGGGTCTTAATCTCTACCCTCTGTGCTGAAAACAACCTCTGTGCCACCGCCAGGGTGTCCGGCTCCAGGTCCGCTATAATTGCTGCCCTAGGAAACTCCAGTGGGATGATCTGAATAGTGACCCCAAGGCAGTCACCTTCCTTCCTTTTCCCATTTTGACCCATTTAGATCTCTCTACATTTTTCCCCTTTTTTCCTCAGATAAATCCCCCATGAGATTCACTTTCCCTTTAATTTCCAAGAGCCTGTTCAGTAGGATGTTAATCCAAAAATCTCAATTACATACCTTTATTTTTCGATGTGATTCAATGTGTTTTGAGTTTGTCTTCACAACTCTTCTCTAAGCTCCACTGTCGTCATACATAGATCGAGTACTGAGGGTCTTTCCTACCACACATGCCGTCCAACTCTGTGAAGGACCTGTCTGTCATCCACATCACGGAGCCTCGATTGATTGGGACTGATTCATGACCATTTAAAAAAGCTATTTAAGATCTCTCTATTATTTATGTATTTTAAATTTTTCAAACAAATTGTACAATATTTCCCTTGCTAACAATTAAACAACCTAGAGTGAATTTATAAAAGTAACCTGGTTAATTAAAATAATAATGGAGCTTTTAATGGCATGATCCACATGATTCAAAGAAATGTCAAAAATTATGTGCCTTTTTTTTTTTTACTTTTCTGTGTAAATAATATTGTTAGCTTAAGCTGTGTTCCCTGACATCACATGGATTTCAAAACTCTAGAAGAAACGTGGAGTGTTGGCATCAGTGCACGTAATTTTCCCAAAAAGAAACCAAGTTCTACAACAAACCCAACATCAGTCTTGGTGTTTCAATGAGTGTCATTCACTCTGAAGTCCTTAGGAGAGCCCCTGCATGCTTAATTCCTTGTTCTCTTTGTTGTCCCAAAGTGTTTTATGCAACTGTTTCTTCTGACATCACTACTGAGGTACAGATAATAAATAAGACAAGAAAATCCACTTTTGGTTGCCAGGCAGCTGCGTCTGGGGACGTCTCTCTCTGAGCACTAAGCAAAACCTCAACCTGGACTGGGGAAGACTCTCGACTCTGATCAGGAAAGAATTTGCTATCAGGTCAAACTAGTGCCAGCAAGAATAAAGCAAGAGCGGTGTCGAATGTCTGCAGCCGTGCAGACAGTAGAGAGCAAGGAAGAACAGAGGGGGAAAAGGGAAGTCCATGAAACTCCCACTGGGCATAGGGCAAATCCCTTGCCAACTCTTACAGCCAAGGTCACTTGGTATCCAGGGTCCACTTGATCTGCACAGTGTGGGAATTACATCCCTACCACCCTACAATTGGAGGGAGCCATGAAGCACTGGATAGAGTAAGGGTATGTTCGGAGAACTTCCATTTACCTACTGGTCTGCAATAGATTAGGGGGAGAGAAAAAGGTTGTATTTAAGACTAGAAAGCTGAATGAAATAGCAAAGTGACAAAGACACTGCTGGAGGTGGAGGTCAGCAAATTCTTGTCTTTATCATGCAAAAGAGTTCAGAGACAGAGTGCAGTAGGCTTATGCAGCAAAAAAGTTTATTTGATAAGACAGTACACACTCAGACGGAAGTGTGGGCAACCTCATGGAGGAGGCAAGCTTAAGAGTTTAGGTTTGGGGTTTTATAGTACCTTTTGGGTAGCAGTCGGTATAAGGCATGATGTATACAGGTGATTAATAATTCCTTTGAAGTTTTATTTTAAGAATAGGGTTATTTAGTTGACTGTTGATCCAGATCCTGGTATTCTTTACCCTTGTAGGTTTGTTTATTCTCCAAAGGTCTCTCATCCTAGTTACAAATTTACTAATTGATTAATATGACTGGACAAAGAGGAAGAAGAGCATATAGATTAAGTTAAAGAATAATCTGGGCCCTTTTCTACAGGCTAAGTAGATTTTACAGTGGCATGGCACTTGTCTCCTTTCCCGGCTCTAGCTCACTTCCACCACTGCTAACATCAAGCTCCCAGATCTGGGTCATGAATGAGAACTAAGCCACCTGAGACATGGCCCATGTGGCTACCTTAAGTGCCTTAGATGCAGGTAGTATTAGCATTAAGAGGCTGCCCTCTTGTCCCTGTTTGAGACTTGAAGAAATGGCTTTCCCACCTCCCTGAGGGAGTACTTAGGAACAGTGCAAATCCTACCTCACCCTGGGTATTTACTTTCTGAGTCAAGAGCTGATCATTATAGTTCAAAGGATGCTGTACTCTCTGTAGCATTAAAAATTGTATTACAATTAATGGCATTCAGAAAAAAAGCAAAATAGAATTGGTTTCCTGGTCACAAAGATTTTTCACATCATTGCCAACTCCTCTGCTTTTTATTTTTTCTACTCCCCTTACAGCTGAGTGCTATTGAATAGAATCAAGCAAGTATCATGACTCAGTCCCGGCAAATTGATACTCTCATGTAATATCTCTGCCGAGCCCACTGCTAGGCAACAAAGGCAACCATCCATTAAAATGTCATCCAAATGGGTTATTTCAGAATTTTCAATCACTCTCAAACCTCGGGTTAGCTGTCCTTAGAAACAGATAACCTATTTCACAAACCAGACTGGGATCATTAAGCATAAACTTTCTGCCTACCTCCCCTCCCACATACAGATCATGTTTTCACTTCATCCATTTCCTCCTCCAAAAATATGAGAGGAAATTTTCCATGTATTTCCAGA